TCTAGAAGACAAATTTGTAAAAGCTGGGGTGGAATGATCAATTTTGAATACTGAAATTAAGGTTATGGCTAAATAATCCTGATTTAGTTCTCCTTGTCATTGTCTGGACTATAAAATTGCTACCTTCTTCCTTTTCAGTTTTAAAACTTTCACAATGCGGTGCTATATTTGAGGGACAAGTTTTATGTGCATATGTATTTAAATGTATATAAAACCCTATGTGACCCAGTATGAAAAAGGTTCATACATCTGCATGTATATATTCTTTTATATATATAAACCCCTGTATGAACCTATAGGAAAAAAGATATCTACATCTGTCTGTATGTAATACTGATAGATGATGTAACCTGTTGTTGTTGTTCCTCCCTCCCGCCCTGCCCCGGACTTCTAAGCTTCCTGAGATTAAACAGAGTCCAGACATTGTTCTGGGTTTCCAGGAACATTCTTAGCATATAGTTCTTCCATTTTCTTTCTGTTTAAAGATCTGATTCTTCATAGTTCAGTCAGTTGACTGTGAACTTTGTCCTGCTTCCCCTTAGCTTTTAGTTGCTCGCTATATCCTTCAGAGTTCCTGAGGGCAATTCTAGTTTACAGTTCACCTCTCACGAATAACTGAACTGTGGTACACAGTGTCAAATGTTTCAAGGTAGTTATTCTTTGTTTCTTGTACTGTCAAAAGGATGCAGATCTGGACAAAACAAAAATACCAAAAGCATTGCTTTACCTTTTTCCATGTGGCTTTTGAGTGTTCTTTGTTTTAAGGGTCTTTGATGTAGGTCAGTCACACAGACCAGACTTTCTTCACTCATCTGCATGACTCTTTCTGAATGATAGCCAGTCTCTTTCTGATCCCTGCAGTTCATGCCTTTTCCTTCTGTCTGAAATGGATGTTGAGTCAGTCTTTTGTTTGTAAGTCCTTCCTCTTACGATAACACCATTCAGCTGTTCAAAAATTTGGAATTGTTGTTTTCAATTTAAGATGTTAATAGGCAGCAAAGTCTTAGGCATGAAAATTACTCTTAGCCAACTGCAAAGGGACAAGTAAACTTGTAACATGCAAAAGACATCTGAAATTACAGCTCCATATCAAGCTTTCCATATGATTAAAAAGTGCAGGATTTGGTTCTCACATTGGAATCCTTAATGAGGCTGACACTGAAAATTTATGAGGTTTGCTTATGATGCTATTGTAAGAAAAATATTATAGTGATGATGTTTGGAAAATGGTGTCATTTCAGTTTGATTTATATGCAAAAAATAATATAAGTTAAAAGCACTAAAGAGAAGGGGATATTTAGACAATTTTCTTGGATCTTACTGTTATTTGAGAGAACACTGTTGAGGAAAGATACAAGTAGACAGTGCAAGGTGACACTAATTACTTGCCAGCTGTTCTAAGAACTTGAGTGCTAGCTGTAACACCTCATTTCTGTATTGGGAACGTAGTAAGTGCAGTAACATTAAACAAACTTCAAGTTTCATAGTATACACAACTCTGAAAGAAATGATTTACCTGCAGTTCCAGCCACTTTATACAAGGGAAGTATACTCAGAATAACATGCATGGTAATAGCTCAAAGAAAAAAAAAAAAAAAAGTTGAACACTAAGTATTTTTCTAAGAACAGTCAGGATCAGCTGGTTTCCACTCTTTTATTTAGAGAGCTATTGGGTTTCTCATACCATTTATTATGTAGTCATACAGTGATTTAAACATGTATAGGCCATTACATGGCCCTTTTAAGTATGCTTTGTTGGACTTAAATTCACCCTGTGAAAAGGAGATTCTTTCTGTAACTCAGTTCTTAAATGGTTAAACTAACTGCTGCTCATTTGTCTGCTTATTTTGAGTTTGTTTTAATGAATAAAATATGCTTTGTCTTAAGCATGGAATTCAGTTTACAGTTTTTGGTTTCTTTTAGAAGATTCAGCGATGATGTTGCTTGACATTTTCCTCTTATTTTTTTCCATTTGGAAGGCTTTCCTGTCTTTAAAAAAAAAAATCTCGTTTTAGGGGATACTTACATTTCGTTTTCATAAGAAACTCACAACTCGAATATAAGACTGTGAAAACAGTTGCATGAACATGAAAACCTTTGCACTTTATTTTGAAATGATCAGAGTTTACCGGTCACCTCATATTAAAAGCAGTGTTAAACTCCAGCAGCAGTTAATTGTTCTGTAAAAGTCCAGTTAAAATCAAAAAAGAAGTGGAAATAAAAATGGCTTAGACTAGAAATAGGTTTGTATTTTTTTTGGTTAAAATGATATAATCTATTACAGACTGCATATGTTTGTCTAGCATGTAATCCTCCATCTTTATAGAGGAACAGTAACTAGTGTTACATTGTTCTAATTTCTTTGTATCTTCAAGGGAGAAAGGAGGACAGCTTTATTATTGTCACCGTTGTGATCATGGTTTTGTCTTTTGTTTTTTTTTTTTTTTTCTTCCAGATATTGACTACCCTTGTGAAAGGGATTTGTAAACCAGTAACCTGCAAAATCCGCATTTTGCCCTCAGTAAGAACATAAATTATTACACTAAAGCTTTTAGTTGTTGTTTAATTCTGTGATTTAAAATCAATTAGAATATATGGCATTCTAATATATTGGCATTTTAGACCTGTTGTTGTGAAATAGCATTCGGAATTATAATTTCTGTTTGGGATGCTGTCATGACCTGAAGGGTTATCTGACCTGTGGGCGTACAGAGATGATCATTGTGAGTTCGTCGGATTCCATGGTATACAAGGACACACAGGCTTTTATCCTGTAAATTTCCCAACTTTATTACAGATTACCACAAATACCACAAAAATCCCTGCAGCAAATATACATATGATTGATAAAGCAAGATATAGATATATCTATCTCAAGCTATTACAAATTATTAGTAGCAACAATAAATAGTATTAACAGCAGTGATTAATATGGCAGCAATCAATTATAGCAACAATCAGTAACAGCAACAACAAAGTAGGTACGTACTATTACAAGTTACTACAAACTTATCACTAGTGAAGCAAACTTATCAATAATATAACAGCAGGTATACTTACTATAGATTACGATATATATGCATATATATATATGTATGTTCATAGTAATAATACCAGTATCAAGTGCATTAGATCTCAGAAGGGGGGCCAAACCATCGCAGACAGAAGAACAGACTCATCCTAGAAGGGGACCCAACCATTCCAGAAGTAGGAAGGCAAACTGAACCAACCCCAAAAGTAGGCCTAGAGGGGGACCAATAAAATAACAGACAGAGACTCACTCCAAAAATGATCTGTGTCATGGAGTTTGGAGTGAGCCAGGCATCCCTGGCAAGAGTCCAAGATCTCGTAGAAAGTTGTGCAGAGAATTCAACCTGTTTAGGAAAAGGAAAAGTATGTGAAGCATGGGAGGCTCTCAGAGAGAGGGAAGCTCAATTTTGGATAAAAATTAAGTCCTTTTTATGTCAGAGGCACAACAAGATGTAGGACACCACTCCTCGAGCAGCCAGTAGATGTTGTTAATCCCTATTTTTCACCTGGGTCAGCCAATAGATGATTGTTCTGTTCTTTCAGACCTTTTTTTTTTTTTTTCTCCAGACTGTTTTCCTGTGCTTGCGGTTAGAAAAGCCAATGGCAGTTACAGATTCATTCTTTCTCAGCATGTTTTCCCCCTTTTCCAGACTTTTTTACCTTTCAGATGATAAGTTGCTGATACCGTTCCTTGGGTTTGCACTTATCGCTGGTACCTCAGGATGTCACTGGTTTCTAGGTACGCAGCTGCACTTACCAGGGATGCTTCTGGTTCACAGGCCTAGTTCTCAGGCTAACGATTTCCAGGCTGGCAGGCATTTTCTCTCTCAGTATTTTTCAGAAGATATTTTCTTCTGTTCAGTAATTTTCCCCTCCCAGCCAGGTTGCCTTTCTGGCTGCTCACATCAGATGCCAAACTTTGTTTCTCCTCTCTTAATTTAAAAAGTCAAGAAAATACTAAATGTTAGATGTCAACACATGGTTTTATTCTGTTGAACGCCAACTGTGGATACTTCTATTAAAAAGTATTTTAGTTCATTTATTGTAACCCACTGAGTTAATCCCAAAGCTTTTGCTGGTGGATAAGCACTAGATGAAAATAAAAAGGAAAAATGCACTCTTATTTTAGAAGACGACTGCCAAATGTAGAATTGACTGAGAGTAATATCAGGTGTGCATAAGCACAGTGTGATGAACTTTGAATTTCTTGACAGTCTGCTTGAAGTTTAAACTTCAAGAGGGGAAGACCAAGCCGTAATGTTACTTCTCCAACTTCCAACATTCATGTTAAGAATGAAGATTTCACTAATGAAATTATGTTTACAAAAGAAACTGCCTGTGCTCTATAAACTACTCATATTCTACTCTGCAAGGAAATTTTGCATTACTTGACTCCTGATTTGCTGTATGTGCAATGACAGCAATAAATACTACAAATGATACCCCAATTAAAAACAGATTTTGCAGCCTTTTTAGAACTTGTTGATAGATTGATGCAGTGAAATTGCTAGCTTATACAAAGGGGTTCATAATCTTCCTTCTCAGAAGCAGCATCTTCATTGCAATTAGAATGACTTTGTCTGGATAGTTTCTTGGGTACAGTAATTAATTTCAAAGAAATTGTGGTAAGACTGTTATATTGCTAAAGCTGTTACATTTTGTTTTGTCTGCATTTTCCTAAAATTCAAGAATATAGTGAAAATACATAGGTTCTTTTTTCTGTTTTTACAGTGGATTTTTTTTTTTAGTTGAATTCCCTACTTATTTTTAAACCTCCGGGAGATGATGTGCCTTCTCTTTTAATGACTGATTATTTTGCAAATGTGTATTTAATTACCTGCCTAGATACCGTGATGGCATATGACCTGGATAAATATTTCTGTAGATGGATGAACTGTAACTGAGCTAGCTATTGTTCAAAAGTCATTTACATGTGCACTTAAAATGATTAAATGAACAAATGAAACCTGTGTGAAAAGAATCAGTAACTCTGTGTAAGATCATTTTGGTTTTGAAGTACTGAAGTATTGCATTGAAGAACTGGCACCTCTCCTTTTTATTTTCTACAACTATCCTAGAGCCTCTTCCTTTTTGTTTAAAGCTGCTTTTGCATAACATGTCATCTGTCAGAACAGCAGGTGATCTTCTGTATCTCTGTCCGTGCCAGCGGGTAGGTGTTGCATTTTTCAAAGACTGAATGTGCTATTTTTGTGATGAGCCACCGATCATTCTCCAGCTTTTGAAAAGAAAATTGGCCTTATCTCTTTTTCATTCCCCCTTTCCCCAAAGCTGCATAAGACAGGCTAATCCAGCAGCGTGCTAAATTTCTTTCTGACTTTTTAACAGCATTTTACCTCTTTGAAGATATACTGGGAGCTTCCCCTTTTTCCCCTGTATCTTTTAGTTCATTGGTCATGTACAAATAGCATTAGAATTTTTTAGACACTAGTTAACTTTTTTTAAGACACATCTGAGAGGGATATTTATAGATGTGTGATTGCATGTTACATTAATTTCAGAAGGCATCCTTTTATTAAGATGCATTTTAATTACAATTTACGGAGTAGCTGTTAGAGAGGACATGCTACTCAAGTATTTTGTGTCATTTTCAAATGACAGTCTAAAAACCTATTGGAAAATATTCTCCTACTACAAACTGTTGTGTTACCTGGTTCGCAATCTATAGTTCCAAGGAAGTATTGAAAATGGATTCTTATTTTTGCCATACTAAGTAGTTCTTTAATTGAAGTATCTATTAAATGGTTATGCATGTTGGGAGTTACTGTTGAAATACAAGAATCATATCCCTCTTGATGAAAGAAAACTTCCAACATTTGTTTGTACAATGATCACATGATAGTTATTCCTTTTTCTTTGAACTAAAATCATGTCATATTCTCTTATCCCTCAGGTTGAGGATACTGTGAATCTGGTAAAGAGAATAGAAAAAACTGGTATTGCTGCCATTGCAGTCCATGGAAGGTAAATTGATTTTAGGCAAGAGAGACTTAGGTTTTTTGTTTTTTTTTTTTTTTTAAGTTTGCTGGTGAATGTAGCAGAGTAATATATGACTAGAGTATACTCTATATGTGTTCTGATTTCAACTGTTAACGAAATCGGTGTTGTAGAAAATCAGGCCAGTGATTAGGGAATTGAATGACTTGCTGCTATTTTTATAAAATTTTTGTCTCAAAGACCAAATAAAACTAAAATTATCTTGCATACTCTGTATCTAAAAAATGCTGCTTACCTGGATATGGAATTACAGGAACAATGTTTTAAAATGTATTTGATATGAAATACTTCTCTTGTGTTTAAAAAAAAAAAGAAGAAAATTACATCAAATATATAAAGTAAAGAAGTGGAAATAAGTATGTCTCAATAATCCTTGAGGTATGTCTGCTATGATTCAGATATCTGGAAATTCCATAGGAAATCTTTGGTCTTGTTTGTCTTTGTTTGCTGGAAAGGAAGAAGGAGGAGAGGCCTCAGCACCCTGTCCACTGTGATGTGATCAAAGCCATATCTGAAGCAGTCTCCATTCCAGTAATAGCAAAGTAAGTTGGACTAATTAGCTAGTTATTGCAAGATGCCTGTACCTAACTTAAGATTTGCAAGTGCAGGAAGAAGATCGTTCATGTAGGGCGAATAGAATGTTGCCTGTTACCAAAGATCAAATCTGAATAGAGGTAGCAGTGACAGAAGTTGGCCATATGAAGTATCACCATACCTCAGTTTTTAGTTTAAAAATTCTGGGTATTTCTCAAAAAGTATTGCTTTTGTGTCTCACAGTCTATCCTATGCAGGTTGTTTCTGATTACATCCAGCAGTTGAATTCTCTGTGCTTTTAAGCCCTGTACATTGACTGGTTATAACCCTACCACTGTGTATCTTGGACACTTGCACACCAGAGGTCGCCTGTCCCACTGCTCACAAAAACAGTGTTCTGTGGCCTCGCATTTCCCTAAGACCTCCTTAGTCTCCAGATATATGGACATGATCCCACTGAATCTGTCTGCTTGTATTGATAGATCCTTCAGTAACTCTGTGATAGTAAAATAAGAAACTCAGTCTTAGAAACATTTAGCTACAAACAGGTAAGTTTTAAGAACAATTTTGGAGGTAATGAAAAGTATCAAACTGTCCTGAATTGTATCTGATCTGCCTGACCAACACCTTTAGATGTTTCACATCTTTATAAGTGGCAGTAGAATATCCTTGGCCAGAGTAGCAGTGTCAGTGTCCTTAATTTAAGTTCTCTCTTCATTGGTCATGAGTTTTCATGGGAAAGCTGCATCTCTGCAAACCATATACTTGGATCAGGAATTTGAGAACTGTTTTCCTGTAGAAAAGACATTGAAAGCTACAGCTTCTGCAGTTAGAAAACCTGTTTCTGTACTGGACAAAGGAAATATTCCATACTGATAATCTTTGTTGATCCACTTCTCAGTCGTTCACCCCCTTTCTAGTTTTCAGAATGTCTTTTTTAAACAACATGGAACTAAAAAGCCAACAAAATTCACATTGTGCATTGCCATGAAGCCTTTGTTTGCCTAGGTAAAAGATGAGGCTAACAATTTTTCTTAGATTTTATGCACGTCACAGAAATGTCAGCTCTGTATGAGTACTTTCTATGAGGTAGAAGTGTGCAATTAAGATATAAAAATATCAGAGGTTTATTGTTGATAAATTGCTTCTAATTAATCCCGTAACTTACTTCTTTGCAAGTGTCCCAACATGCTGAACTAACCTTAGCAATCCTGGTTCTTTTATGGTTTCTCTAAAAAGGATATGATCTTTCTTTTAAATCCACTTAGTGCAACTTTTCCCTCTAAAGAAAAGTGAAAGTGCAACTTGGAATCCTGCTTATTAAATATATTTGATCCATGATAATTGATCCCTGCTGTAACTTATTTGGCTGGTATTTTGAGAATTTTAACCACTTGTACCTCAAGCTTTGTCAGGAAATATACCAGAACGAATAAAAGGGAGTAGACTGGTGCTGAAAAAAAGCAAGAAAACTTGAATTGGTGCTATGATTTCTAGAATGGTACTGTGTTTATGGAATAATCTTTCGTAAGTGCAGGAAGCTTGTTTGTGCTGTCTTCTCAATATAAATGTCTGGTTTTAAAGTAATGTATTGTTCTCTAGTTTTTATTTTGAATTTGACAGTGTTTTTACTTTTGAAGGGATAAATAAAGATCCTACTCTTTATAGTTCAAAAGTCCAACTTTTATTTTACATTTAAAAGATGTTGCGAAAGGGAACTTTAAGAGAAAGAAAAGGTGTTTTAAGTGTTCTCTTTGCTTACTAACATGTCTGACTTGCTGACTTGAAAGCAGAGGCAGTACAACAGAAGCAGTGCAACCTTCTTTAAAGTGCTTTGTGACTGATCTGGAAGTACTACTTGCAGTTACTCTCCATGTTAATGGCAGAGTGAAAATGGAATGATGCTGTCCATACTTAACTTGTTCTCAGTATCACTAGTCCCAACACAATTAGTATGCAGTTGAAGGTTACAAAACTAGCAATTACAAGGTATCATTTTTTCAAACAACATGGAAATGATTCTTTATGAGCCTTATCCATTAAGAACTGTGCGAAAGCACACAGTTTGTGTAAAAGCACAAACTATATTCTTTCTTCATAAAAGGTCTTCTGTTTTTAAGAGAAGTATGCAGATAATTAAAAATGTTAGATATAATCAGTGTTTTAATGAGCCATTACTAATAAAACTCTGACCCACTTATTCTCTTAGATTTGAGATAATAGCCTAAATAGACTCTGCCACCATTAATAATGTAATATCACTGAAAATACAAGGCTGTGTTAAAGTACAAGTAACAGCAAATAAAACTTTCATGATTAACAGTCATATTAACTTTTAGTGGAGGATCTCATGACTTCATCAAAGAATATATGGACATTGAGACCTTCCAGCAAGCAACAGCTGCCTCATCAGTAATGATAGCTCGTGCTGCCATGTGGAACCCATCTATCTTCAGAAAAGAGGGCCTCTTCCCCTTGAAGGAAGTCATGCAAGATTACATCAAATATGTATGTTTTTTCGAAGATCTTACTTGTAGTTAACATTGTTTAGAATTGTTAATCCAAATCTTACTACAGTATTTTAACTCCTCTTAATTTCAAACTTAGGCTCTGGGGATATTTTAACATACCGCATATGACATGAGTCTTGCAAATCAACCACTGCTTTGTCTGTTTTATTTTGTTCAGAAAAAAAATTCAGAAATCTGTATTCAGAAAACAGTTTTTCCTGATGATTCCCTTCTTAGGTACCATGCTTTTTAGCCCTAGTTTCTTGGGAACTTTTATGAGGCTTGTAAGGCTATCTAAAAATGTCTAGGAATTTGAAAAGCTAATTGTATGTAGGCCAACTGTCTTGATGGTACAGTAGTACAAATAACATTGAACAGAGAAGTGAAGGAATATTAAATATTCAGTTACTGCTAGATTCATTTTTAGAAATTAATTGCTTTTCACAAACAGAGTCAAGAATTTCGAACAGCAGGGAAGCAAAGGGAATGATTTGCCAATAAAGTAATGCTGCATATCTACAGCTCCATTAGCAGAGTTGTCTATAAAGTTTTATCTATTATTCAAAATACACAATTTTAATGACATAATAGGAAATTAATCAGAAATCTGGCTTTGATCATGTCATCAATTCAAAATTTTTTTGTTTTTGAAAATTTGGACTGCCATTAACTAGTTAGTTACTAAAATATCTCTGCATCGGTAGTCAGTTATGTAAACTGGTCAACTCTGTCTTCGTAAGTATATGAATAAGTTGAACTTCTGTTCATGAAAGCATGCCACAATAATCAGAGTATACTCACATTCATGAGTAGTCTTGAATGTGTTATTGAGAAAATTGTACATTGTGGTTTGCCTTTCAAAAAGGATTTTGAAATTTGTCAAGAGACATGAGGGTTATATAAGATAAATATGTTTGGTATGTTTTTATATACTTTGTCTCTCTCCTCCAGGCAGTGAGATACGATAATCACTATACCAACACAAAATACTGTTTGTGTCAGATGTTAAGAGAACAGTTGGAAACTACTCAGGGTAAGAAGCTGCACGCTGCACAGTCCACACAGGAGATCTGGTAAGCATGTACTTCAGAAATAGGAATTGTACTCTCTGTCAGACTTGCAAACCACTTTTCTGTCTGTAGCACTGCCTGGCATTTCATACCTTCAGAAGAAGTTGCAATAAGAAAAGAAAAAAAATCCAGTTAGTGAGATGTGGAATAATACAGTAAACTTTTCCAAGTTTCTTCCATGCTCAGGTGTTAAAGTTTTAACCCTAAAACTGTCTATATATTTGACACAGTAATTTGAGTGGTGCTTCACTGAGTGACAGGCATTTATCCAATATTTGCATTAACTGATTAAGAAAAGTTTCAGCATTCTCTAGTGGTAGTCTGGAGATAATAGTGTGGAGCTTGTCTTCTTCCAGCAATATTTATTTAAACTTTCCCTTTTGCATGTGGGTTTTTTTATATTACTGGAATTTTTATGACAAGATGTTTGTTTTAAATGAACACTTAGAGATAAGCTCAAAACAATATATGAAGGTTGCCTATATGATACTTAAATGTATTTCTTTTGTGCTGCTTTTCATACCTGACATATGCTAATGAATGCTGACAGCCTTTTTGAGGAAATATAGTAGCTTTAATCAACCTTTTCATCCTGGACATCTGAAACACTCTGGCTAAAATTTCTCAAAGGGGGAGACAGAAAAGGAAGAAGAAGAGTTTGAGAGAAAACGTAAAATAGACATGTGATTAAAAAATTCACACAGAATGGAGGGGAATCAGGTTTGGACCCATCCCAAACTGAACAAAATAAAGGTCTGAGCTTGCATGTGTCGTATCCATGTTGTGTGCTATAATTATCCTTCTGATGGAATGGAGGGGAAGAGAGTCTCTTTGTTTTTATAAAATAAACAGTCTGAAACTGTTTGTTATCTTACAGGTATGAGAAGGGATAGAAATGTTAAAAGCTTGAAATATTTTGCAAATAGAGTTACTGTTTTCTAGAATCAGCATTCTGTTCATGTTCAAAATGAAAGGAAATGCCTGCAGTCCTTTTGCCAGTTTACTGCGATTTACTAATTTTGGCACTCTATAAATGCTGCTGTCCATGATTATTACATTACAATACAATGAGGGTAATTTGTATCATATATAAAAGGAGCTAGCCTTCATTAATCATACGGGAGCAGTGGAATCCATGAACAACATTTGCACTTTGCAAGTTACTTTTCACTTTTGCAATGTAAATAGTTGAACAATAGTTTAGTATGATAACTTACTATCTATTTTGCTTACAGTTTTCCAGTTTGGTTAGAAGAGATATAGTATAGATTGAAACTGAAACAATCTTTTACAGCTTCGAATAACTCTTAGCCACAAGGGTGGTGGTCTTTACTGGATGAATAGTAATGCAAAGTATGTAAAGAAAAACTGTAAATAAGAGTCAAGCCCTTAAGGGTCACAGTTTATACACATAAACACTGGATAGAGATCTAGTGTAAAACTTTTGGGTTTATGTGCTATGCCTAACAATTCTTTCGGGGCTTCCAAAACTGAACATAATTGGGTTTTGTATGTGTGATGCAATACCAATTTCAAAATTGCCTTAAGCAGTGTGTGTGCACACGAGAGGAACAGGCTCTCTCTGAGAGCCACTTGCAAATTTATAAAACCGCTTCCTATCAGCAGACTCAAAGTCTTTTAACAGCTGTTCTAAACAACCTGTTTAATGTCCAGATAACTGAAGAACATTCAGTTATTTAGAGTACACCTATAAGTCTTCAGACAGGAATGTTACTTAATACTGCTGCCTCCTGGTGGTGATGGCATGTTACAGCCATTCGAGGTTTTAACCTCAGTACGGAATGCAAGACAACAGGTTGCTGTATTTCAGACAAAAAATTTACATAACATAATAAGTTGCCTTCTCTTAGAAACATCAGTTAACATTTTTCAGCTTCACTGCTTTTCCACTTAGAGCATTGGAGATGGCTTTGTGGTCAGAATTCATTTTGTCATTGAACAGCATCATACCAGTGAGCATTCTCATAACAGTCAGAAAGTAAAAGTTCTCTTATGCTGCAGGCTTTATTGTTGTTATCATTGGCAGGAAATTAATAGTCTCAGTCTTTCAAAGTAGATGCAGCCCGCCATGGTCTGAAATTTAAAAGGATTTGAGGCTCTTGCCTTTGACCCAAATCCTAGTTGCTTCCTCCCTTGTATTGGGGCTTGTGAATAATACTCTGAAGTCAGAAAATCTGAGATTTTGAAGTATTTGGATGTTATAGTGTTTATTGCTTACAGTATTTTTAAATACTAAAATTAGAAGAGGAATCTATTTCCTACTTTTTGCTCATATTGCCCTTGTGGAGCTGATGCACCAGTGGTCACTTGGAGACATTCTTTGCCGGTTCATCCATGTGCAAGTTGTTAACTGAGCTAATAACTTGAACATTGCAGGACCTGTATTTCTGATGGATTCTGCCTGGACTTTCAGGCTGCAAATAGTGCTGGAAATGAAAACATTCTTTTTCTACTTGTAGCTCAACTGTGTCTGATAAGAATTGAAGGCGAAACAATATAATGCAGCTGTGCAGAATATAGCCACACTTTCATGTGGTTCTCTGTACATATGTACTCTTCTTAAACACAATTGATTTCTGTACTTACTTTATTGTAATGTGATACAAAAATCTATAAGCTGATCTCACATACAAAGGAATTCTGTTTGACTAGTGAAGCCTTTGAAATGGCTGACTTCTATGAAGAAACAACTGCTATTTTCAAAGCAAAGAAAACATCTTTGGAAACTGAGACACAAGACGAAGATGACCAAATGGAAGATCCAGATGTAATAAAAATGGCTGTTAGATTTGACAAGTAAGCATGCAAATTAAGTTTTTCACTATCTTGTATCTGTAAGTAAAAACTGTGAATTTGACAGTGCCTTACAGTTTTTTGAAAATAACAATTTGGGTAACAGTGCTTACTGAGTGAATTTTTATGAAGCAATTTCTGTACATCATTACATAATCAGTAGCATCACCACTCTTCCTGTGCTATTTGGATGTTGTAAGATGTTCCTTAGTTCCAGACTTCCTGAGACTGCTTAATTCTCTCAGTTAACTTACTAAAAGTGTGGAGTGATTTTTAAACAAAAATCCAAACATCTGTACCTAGAAGAATGTGAGTATACAAAGACAGAGAGTTCAGTTGTTTTGGGTGAAATTTAACTAAAACATACTAATTTATCTATAAAAGTCCTGCACAAATTTCATAATACTCTTTTCTGAGCAGATAACGTGTTTATCTGTGGTCTTCTAAACGTGCTCCACTCATAAGGTATTCCTTGAAAAACTAATTCATGGAGTTACGCACAGTATTATTTTAAGTAACCTTTGATTATAAGCTGTGAAAACTATGGAATTGCTGTCACTTTCCATGTTATACCCATGTTTGCTATTTTTGCTATGTTTGCTATTAAGTCTGTCAAACAGCTCAAGAAGAGTGTGATATAAAATGCTCCTCAAATCCAGTCATAATGCTTTAATATTTACAGGATACCTGACTCCTTGAGGACTGAATACACTGGTTTTACAGTATTTCTTTTTTCTGCAAAGTACATGGGGCTGTAATTCCATGTCAGTAACTGAATCAATGCCAACCTTTCCTACCCTTTTTTATTTGATAACTCCACTGTCTCATAACAGAAGCAGCTTCTTTTCTTTCTTCTAGTGTTTAATCTTATATTGTTGTTTACAATAAGCAGTGCCAAACTGTATGTCTATTCTGTGTTGTATATTTAGTTAGAATCTCCTTTCTGGCAAGTATCTTTTCTCTAGTTGTATTACTACAGGATGTGAATGTTTGGGAAGAATTAATAGAAAAGTTTAGATTTTGTTTTAGATGTTATGTTAGACCTATTACTTGAATTATCTAATAAGGAAGCAGCATTTTTCTCATAATTTGAGCTGTAAAATTAAACCACAAAGAATAACTGGTAGAAGTAATATAATAAGCAGCACTATCTGTTTTATAATAGATCTGTTTAGTAAGTAAACTCTGTGCACAGTTGTTGACCACAAATTTTTCTGTCTAGGCGAGAATATCCACCACAGATTACTCCAAAAATGTATCTTCTGGAATGGTGTAGGAAAGAAAAGCATCCTCAGCCTGTTTATGAAACTGTGAGTCAATGAAGAAACGCTTTGAAACCTCTTCCTCTGTTTTGTCTATGAAATTAAGTATTTTAGGACTCAAAGTAGTGAGAAATTCAGCTTCCCAGTCTGGCATAGCTCTTGAGTAAGCAGCTTCAGAAATGGTAATACATATGTGTATGAAAATTACAGCTTATTTTATTAGAAACTAAAAATTTAAAAGTCAGACCTTCAAGTCTGGTTTTGATTCATGTGTGAAAGAAGTTGCTGTAACTACAGGTCATTACATAGGAGTCCATGACCAACTTTCTTTTACTACTTCTGTTAAGTAAAGAATTTGGATTCAGAATGTTTTCTCTGTTGCACACTATTATAGGTAGGAACTATACTGGACAGTAGCAACTGCTTGGTTGGTTGGGGACATTATTTGATTTCTTTTTTTTTTTTTTTTGGTAAAGCAAAAGTATTTGCAGTTTGCACTATTTCTTATTATTTTTTAATCTTAAATATGCAAGGTTAAATTTATTGGTGTGAATTTACAGTAATCTTCAAGGTGTTATTTGATTGTGGTGTAAAGAATCATAGAATC